GTGCAACTTCTCAGATCGTTTTGCCAACATATCCGGTGACATTACGCGTGCGCACGCCACATGATTTGAAATGTAATTTCGATAAGTGCTTACTTTGATGAATAACAGCATAAATACCTGGTGTAAAGTTGTGGAATTGTTCAAAAAGATAGGTGAGATGTCCATGTTGATAGATAAGTGTTAAAAAGCCCGATCATTTTACGTTTTGTGGATAAATATGTGGTCACATCAGTTGGACCATTTGCTTAGATTACAGCTATGCGCTAATGTGCTATAGCCCTGCGGCAGCGATCCGCGGGCTATAGTACTAGAGCTAACCTCAGGGTTTTTGGTAGATAATTCGGGATTTTGGCTACAAGTCATAGAGGCTGACATCTTGCCAAATTCCAGCCAATCTATGTTATACCGTTTTCCGGCTTTTACGACAATACCACGTGACTGAACGAGACTTCCCCCCTGGGTACATTTATGGAGCGCAGCGGTACGGTTATGTAGAAACAACATTGGTCAGGTACACTTGTGTATACATATATGTACCTCGGGTAGTACTACGGTACATAGCTCTAGTACTATAGCCGCTTACATTAACTGCCAGCGGCAGTTAATGTAAGCGGGCTATAGTACTAGAGCTATACGGTACATATCTGTAGTACCTGATACGACAACGACCCCATCTCATCTGCCACTGGCCTAACGGCGAATGTTCCATAGCAATTCTGATAATATGACCGTATTAACTACTTGTGCCTAGATCGTTGGTAGTCAGACTACTCATTTAAACACCCCAACAATAACGAAAGAAAATGAAAACAAAAACTAACTCAAAAATCACGGAAAGTCACGTAAAACGACCAAAAATACCTTGCTAAATAACAGCGGCCATAACTGCGTTAGACTGGTACCCGGTTCCACCTATCGGCTTTCGAGTAATCGAAGTGGGAGCGAGTACCAGTCTATAACTGCGTGTAACAGCGCCATCTCGCGGGTGTCATATAAGTATATATGCGCGGCCGCATAGAGAAGATATATATCAGGAGATATATGTATAAACAGTGGATATATGTATAAATTATGGTGAGCTAGAATTTAACAAAGTACTACCTATATAATCTATTTTTGTTGATAGATAGATATACGTGACTTGATTAAAAAAAATATAACTAGTTTGGCCCGCCTTTCTGACAACAAAGCACATATTTGTTAGTAAAAATGATGAGGCAACACCCTGAAGAAGACCCCTGTCGATTTTCACGGGCCTACCCCCACATTTACGAAGTATGAAGTATGGAAAATTACTCGCTACTCATACAACAACAAGAATAAAGAGAAATAATAAAGAATTACCATAAGTATTCTTGGTATAGACGGGATATAGTAAGCAAGTATTCTTGCTGTTTGTGCATAACGGCGTGCGTGCGGTGTACGTGTGTGTTGCAGAGAAGCATTTGGACGGCATTTACAGGAAATTATCGGCAATAATAGGCGAAGCCGCGAAAGAGTGTAGAGAAACAGAGAGTAGACTTTGGTAGTAAATACATTTCGTGTTTATTTACTATCATTTTAATATTGCAACATTCCAAGTATCTATGTCTATCCTAACGTCTCATTTCAACGCATAATATCTATAACGCACAATATTATAGTACCAGATAATTGAAAATATGCATTAAATTTTGAAAGGAGATAGACCGTCCGGAATTAATTGCGGGTACCCTGCATGGGATCCTTGTAATTACTGAAGCAAGAAATTGTGATATCTTTGTAAAGTATCGTCTTATATATAAGTGGATAAAATAAAATAAAAATACAAAATTAAATCAAGAATGATATTTTATAAATTATCAATTATATAATTCAATTCTGTTTTATGTATATATTTTGCCATCCGGGGGATTGGGTGGGGAACACACGTAGGCTGAAACGTATAACGAGGTCGTCTTCTATGATGACTGCGTACTGACCCGGTCGGTCTGTCTGCTGCCAGCAGCCGCACCACTGCACGTACATGCCGACGTTGTGCGCATGCGCGACGACCGTCGTCGCTCCGTGTGAGAACTCAACCCGACGCGCCGCGCGCACGCAAGCTTCGTGTTCCGGCCGCCGGGCGGCGCTGCGTGGAAAGTCGACGCACACACGCAGCGTGACGTTGTCGCCGTCGTAATGGGCGTCATGTATGGACGCCAGGAGGCGCTGTAGGCTGTGCGGTCGGTCGGCTGTGAGCACGGCCAGCTGCAGGTGGAACGTCGGCGCGCCGGGGCTGTCCTCTTGCGATGGAAGTTGCAACAGGGCGACGAGAATCGTTTGGTAGAGGAAGATGAGAAGTAGAGCGGACACGCTTACTGAGGCGGC